AGGGCAGCCTGGGATGCGGGGGGCAACCCGGGCCGGGCTGGGCTGGGGAGGGCAGCCTGGGATGCGGGGGGCAACCCGGGCCGGGCTGGGCTGGGCTGGGGAGGGCAGCCTGGGATGCGGGGGACAACCCGGGCTGGGCTGGGCTTCGGGGAACAACCCGGGCCAGGCTGGGCTGGGGAGGGCAGCCTGGGATGCAGGGGGGAGGGGAGCAACCCGGGCCGGGCTGGGCTGGGGAGGGCAGCCTGGGATGCGGGGAGGGTGCGGAGGGCAGGCAGAGGTGGAATGGGGAAGGCAGGCTGAAAAGTTCCTCCTCTCTCTTCCCAGCTTCTCTCGTTCCCCCTCTCCCTCTCCCCAGGAGAAAAACGTTGCCCAGGGGCACAGGAAGCCTTCCCCAGCACAAAGGAGGCATTCAGGGCCGGGTAGAGAAGGTGCTTTGCCGCCCTCTCCCTCCCCCCCCCCACTTCCTAGAGGTTGAGGAGGAGGGGGAAGGGTTCGTCCCACTCGAGTTTCCAGGGGGTCACCTCCCGATGGAGGAGAGAAAGGGGGCAAAGAGGGAGGGAGCGAGGAAGCAGGAGCCCGGGGAGGAGGGGCGGGGGCATCTCCTGGCACCGGGGCTGCTCATCCCTTCTGGAAGGCGTGGGGAAGAAGGAGGTTCTCCCAGAAGCCGGGGCCCTTTCAGTAGGATGGGAGCCGAGGGGAGGCGCAGGGCCCCGCTTCTGGTCCCGAGACCCTCAGGGTCCCATGAAAATGTGCTCTCTGCCTCCCAGTGAGGGAAGAAGGACCAGAGGAGGGAGTTAGGTGCTGCTCCGAGTTGCTGGGCCAGCAGTGGGAAGCTTCGGGCCAGGGGATGGGTGGAGGACCAGGCTGGCCCAGCCCTGGGTCTGCAGGTCAGAGCCAGTAGAAGGTCCCCCTCCCCCCTTTGAAAACTGGCTCCATTCCAAGCATCAGTGTAGGACGGGGTGGGAAGATCGTCTGGAAGGAGCTTCGTGACCTCGTTGCTAGGGTCAGTCTCCTCCAGTCAGACAGTCTGTATTCTAAAGGACCTCTCAGGGTGAAAGGCCCCTCCCAGATCTAACATGTTATTTGTCAGGCTCCTCCTGGGGCTGCCCCTGGTTGAGGGAGGGCCTCTGTGCCTTCCTCTGGGCATTCTACAGCCAGCTTCCTGGTCCCCAGTTTTACCCCAGCTGAGACTTTCTTTTGGAAGATGTCTTGGGTCCCCAAAAGCTGGCCCTTCTGGTTTCTGTCTCCTAGTCGCTAGGTCCCCCAGGGTTCGGCAATCTGACAGGGGTTGATTGGTTCCTTAGCCCTCGGGCTCTGGATTGGCAGTGCTCAGGGAGCCTTGGTCCTGGATGCCACCCAGGAAGGGGGTGGTGGAAGGTGGAGCTGGATGGAATCTCCTTAGGCCATCCCACTGACCTGCCAGGGTCACATGGGGGATGGGATTAGCCTGAGATTAGGGCTGGGCTGGGAGCTCAGAGGATGGTGGTTTTGCCCTCCCCCTCTGATTGAGGGCCTGGGTTGGTGAGGGGGCAGGCAGTGGGCCTCAGGAACTGGAGAGAGGCCAGCACCAGAGGGTGGAGGTGGCCATCTCCTATTGGTTTCCTGTGGTTGCTGCCCTGAAAGGTGAATGACCAGGGGGACGTGCTTGGTAGCAGACGGTCAGATGAGGAAGACCAGTCACCATCTATGCCCCAAATGGCATCAGTATTTGGCAAGTCCAGGATGGGGGCAGGGTGAAGGTTGGGGGAGGGCGAGAACATGTCAAGGGAGGCAAGTCAACAAGCATTTATTAAGCACCTACTATACGCCTGGCGCCTTGATAGCTGTTGGAGCAGGAAGTGTGAAAAACCAAGGGAGGCTTGGGGGACCAGGAGCTCGGCAGTAATGGCACGTTCTGACCATAGAGTCATAAGAAGCAATCCAGACCTCCCATAAGCTCCTGAGGAGGACCCAAGACTTCTCTCAGCACACACGGCTCATCCAGGCTCTCCGAGCCCCTTTATTCTGGGCCTTCCCCAGGGAGGGGATCCTCAAGTTGGGTCTTTCTGGTCCCTGTTTTCAGACAAAGAAGCTGAGACCAGCAGAGATTTAGTGATTTGCCCAAGGCCACCCGGCCAGAAAATGTGGCAGCTGGGATTTGGACCAGGCCTTCTGACCCCAAGAGAGGCCTGCTGCCCCCTTGTCCTCTGCCCCGGCCAAGCACGTCTGGAGTCTGGGTCTGTCCTGTGTGTGTGTGTGTGTGTGTGTTTACGTCTTTGAGGTCATTTTAGGATGGCGTATTGGCACACTGAGAAAGGGGAATGCCATAGCAGAGAGAGAGGTAGACTTGAGTCAGGGTGGCCAGGCCCTTGGGTGACCCTGGCCAAGTGACTCTGTGCGCCAGGCCTTTGGGACTCTTGAGCTGAAGAGCAGGTACTGTTTTTAGAGAGAGTTTCTTCCCCAGCCTTAGACCTTTATTAGCTGTGTGACCCTGGGCAAGTCACTTAATCTCTGTCTGCCTCAGTTTCCTCATTTGTAAAATAGGGATAATAATAGCACCTCTCTCTCAGAGTTGTTATGAGGGCCAAATGAGATTAGAGTTGTAAAGTGCTAAGCACAATGCCTGGCACATAGTAGGTGCTTAATAAATGCTTATTTCCTTCCTCCCTCCCTTCTTTCCTTCCTCCCTCTCTTCCTTCTTGGAAGGGGTCCAGATCTGGGGCAGTTCTGGGATCCAGCTGTGAGCCCTGGGGGCCAGAAGAATAGAAAAGCAGTCTTTGGGAGGAAAGCCCCTGAGACTCCTGGGAACTTCCCTGGTTCCATGGTTTTTAACTTCTTTGCTGATAGGTTTCTTTTTTTCCTTCTTAATTTTTTTTGGGGGGGTCAGGTGATTGGGGTTGAGTGACTTGTGAGTATTATGTGTCTGAGGTTAGATTTGAACTCAGGTCCTCCTGACTCTTGGGCCAGTGCTCTATCCACTGCGCCACCTAGCTGTTCCTTCTTTTTAGAATTTCTTGAGCGGTTTTATCTGAGCCTTGAGAACTACTTCCCCCTCTGGGGATTAGAACATGATTTTAGTAAAGGCAGTTCTTGAGCCGGGGGGGGGGGGGGGGGGGGCCAGTCCTGGCTGGGCTGGTTGGCTATTGGAACTCTTTACACACAATATGTCATTGAACCTCACACTGGCTCATGGAGGCAAGGTGCTATTCTCACCCCCTTTTTACAGGGGAAGAGGCAGTGTGCTGTTGTGACTAGCCTCGAAGCCCAGAAGGCCTGGGTTCAAGTCCAGCCCCTGACTGTCTGGAGTCACGGAAGCGCTCAGGACGCTTAGATTGTGTGTGGCAGAGGAGAGGCTGCGTTCCAGACTAGCGTCTCTGCCAAGTAGCTGCCTCCGCGGCTCCCTGGAACCTCGCCACAACACTGGGGGAGGAAGAACGCCTTCTCCCCATTTTCCAGATGAAGCCCAGTGCTTGGTTCGTGTTAGAGTTGGGGGTGAACTCCAAAGCATCCTGACTCAAGTCCAGGGACCCCCGTTGGAGAAGTTGGGGGTGTTTAGCATGGAGAAGGGCAGATAATCAATCCAGCGATCAGCATTTATCAAGTGCGCAGGGTCACGAGGGAGGGAGGCTTACCTTGGCCTGTAGAAGGTGAGATGGGGAGCAGTGTGGGAGGGGGATTTTTAGTTCATTATAACTGCTAGAAGCATTGGTGATGGAGTGGGCTGCGTCCTGGGCTAATGAGCTCCCTGTCACTGGAAGTATGCAAGCCAGACTGGATGCTTGACATATGAAGCTGGACCGGACAGCTGATGAATCCCTGCGATCTCTGAGGGCCATCATCTCAGAAGGCCTCAAAGAAGGGCTGCGGGTCAGGAGGAGGGGGCTGGCTGCTGGGGGCCTTACCTCTTTCCTGCCTCTCTCCCTAGTTTCGGCAGAACATTCAGGATGTGCTGCCCCTGCTACCTACCTCGGATGACTATTTCCTTCTACGATGGCTCCGAGGTGAGCTGGGATTGGGGAGGGGAGCCCATTGGGGCCAGGAACTTTTCATCAGGCTAACACTAGAATAGCATCCCTTGGAAACCCCTCTTGTGACTGATGTTCTGAGATCTGAATCTTCAGTATCCTTTGGGTGACAGAGTCAGGAGGGCCCTTAGAACCTTAGAACCTGGAATGTCTAAGCTAGAACGGCCTTTAGAGTGCCAGGGCCAGAAGGGTCCTTAGAACCCAGAATCTGGAATGCTATGCCTGGGAGGCACTTTAGAACCTAGAGCCTGGGGTGTCAGAGCCCATAGATCCTGGACTTGCCCAAGCTAGAAGGGCCTTT